CACACACACAAACACACACACACACACATATATACACATACCTACATACCTACACACACACACACACTTATACTTATTATGGCAGAAGGAATAGCCTTCAGGAACAACCTCTACCAAGACAATGGTTAGATAAAAGAAACCTGAGTCCGTGGCAGAACTGTAACCTAAGAAAATCTCTCAGTCAAGGCTCTCCCTAGTTCTCTCTTATTTGTTAACACCGACAGACTGAATGATGGTGCAAGAAGTGAAATTTAATCTGTCAATCACTTTCAGTCAAGCCCTATCCCATACTTACCCTTAGAAGCAATTCAGCCAAGATGCAGCCTACTGCCCACATATCCACACCCACTCCATACATTCTAGCTCCAAACAATAATTCAGGTGCTCGATACCACCTGTAAAACAGGTAACAATTGGATTACATTCTCTTTTTTCACTGAAAAGACTTACGTAAGATTTAAGGTACAAACTTGCCAATTATTTTTTCAAAGTACAAGTTTAAAACAATATGAAGAGGAAATGCAGATAAGAAATCAAATATAAACAATGAAATATGGGTGGATAGTCAACAAATCTCTAAAAAAATCTTGTATGAGTAATATATTCTAGTACACTTTACAAGCTTACCGTGGTATGAAATATTTTATATCCTTTTCACAATCAATCTATGTGGAGAGAGAGAGAGAAACTACAAACTTGTTCACTTTGTGTTTGAGGATGAAAATATTTATTTAAGGATAGACCTTTCCTATAGTTTAGTACCTTAAAATTAACTTGAAAAAATACTTTAAAAAGTTGAAGAAAAAGTAATGAACAATATAATTAATACCATTAATACCAAATCTTCAAAAGCAGAGTTTCTAAAGAACCGCATGGTTTTAATTCAGCTTAAATTCGCCATTAGGCTGAATGAGTCCTAACTGTAACAGATATTAACAATAGGGCCAATTCTGAAGTAACACATGCACTGAAAGTTCTTACAAGAATTAAAGTTATTGGTAAGTAATAGTTGTATGGAAAAGATGCATAATCAGTTCTCATTTTCACATAGCAGAGTGGGTATTTCCTTTTATCAACTTCCTACTTACCGTACTCATATTTTTTCCATTTCCTTACATGTCCTTTCCCCTCCCAAGATCCAAAAATGATCTTTCTCACACTCAAAACCACTCACCACCCCTGTATTCTTCATTAATTATCTCAATCCTTCAGCACAATCACATTAATCATATTTTTAGATTTGTACTTTATTTGCCAAGTGGATATGAATACATGTATGTTTAATCACATATTCAAAACAGAGAGACTGTTTTCTAACTAATTCTCACCATCTGCTCTTCTAATTCATTTTTAGGTCACCTCACAGACCAATAGATTTTCCATACTTTCCTATTGCGGTCCTTCCATTTGTTCTTTATAATTTAACCAAATAATTTCTTCCCCACTTGTATTCATTTAAAATGTTGCATGATTTTATCCAAAATTCATTTTTTATCATTGTTCAGTGGAATATGTCATTGTAATAATGTAACAACAACAATCTATGGTTTCCTACTTTCATACACACAACATATTAGGTTACACCAATACATGTATTTTAGTCATTCATTCATAATTAAATCCATACTATTTTCCTACATGTAATTATTAACTGCATTCTCCAAGTTTAGCCAACCTTTGTTAAATCTGTCATCTTTCTCTTACTAGCACTGACACACAATGCATCTATTCTTTCAGTTATTAATGCATGGTTTGTATTATTTATTCTTCTTACATTTCAAGACACAATCCTCCATATGCCATGGGCATAATCAGATGGGCTTATAAATATTGATTACCACCATCACTGCCCAACCAAGCTTTGGTCCTTGAAGACTTTTACACAGCATTATTTGACAAGAGATGGTGTAATCTAGTTATCAGCCACAGTTGTACCCATGCCACATAGTGTAGTTTCTAAGTGAGAAGTCATTTTTGTGATATATTTACCCAGTATGTCACAAGCACAATCAAATACAAGTTTTTTTCCTAGCATGCTCACATTATTTTCTGCAAGCCAGGATCTTTATTGCAGAGACTACCTTGAAAGACAAGATACTATTGTCCATTTCTTACCAAGTATAGTCATGTGAAAAAGTAATTACCTCCTATGTAAAGGTGAAATAACTGAACTGAACAATAACAACAAACCTGTGACAAATGGAGACTTTTAAACATTTTTTTTAATTTTATAAAAAGATCTGTCTCTGTTTAAAACTAATCTAGCAGAAATCTAAACCTTCCAATTCAGTATCATTATATGGAGAGGAAGGAGAGGAAATAATGATTAAAACGTACATCAATCCCAGGATCTGAAAATATATTTCATGTTATACTACCATCATAAATTAAGCTCTGTTTTTAATGTACTACTATGTAATTTATGTGATTATATTCAGCTAATGTGGAATTTAGTGTTTTTACTTTAGTATTACACTAAATAAGTACCAGAAACATCTTCAGTATCTGTTCTTCTGAAATGTTTTACTTATGTAGGACCTTTTCCTTATCCCCAAAGGAAGAGAATCTGCCTCCCCAATAATTATGATAGACTGTCATTCTCTAAGTTATGACTAGGCAAGCAAATTCAGTGATTATAAGAATAGCTTATTTGTATGCACTGAAGTTTTCTTCCTTACCTTGTGACTACCTGATGTGTATAAACTCTGTTTGGACTTCCAAAAGATTTTGCCAAACCAAAATCAGCTAGTTTTAAAACTCCGTTTTCATCCAGCAACAAATTATTTGGCTTAAGATCCTTGAAAAGAGAGATTGAGCAAAATGATAGGAGCATGTAATATTCAAATGAAAACACTTTCCGTTTAGAAAAGGCGTAACTTTTACACTTATAAAAAGGAATAAATGAAGATATCAAAACATGTACTGAGAAATAGGTTTGCAGGAAGCAGATGTTTACAATTACGCACATGTATGATTGAACAACCAAAGAGAAAAAAATAATACCTACTTAAACTTTTATTCTTATTGCTGTCTCTCAGAATATGTGAAGTCCATAATGTATTAGAAATAAATAAAAAGTTAAGACAAATATTTTTACCCTAATGATCTGTTATGTCTTTTTATTTTGGCAACATAATATGTTTTTTCACCACTGAAGGCATTCTCAGCAAGTTACTAAAACATACCATAAATCCAAATGATATATTATTTGAAAGTATTGACTTTGTGAGAGGTATTATACTTTCAGAAAGATCACCATTGTCTATTACGGCAAAAATAGTAACATGGCTACAAACTGTTTAGATAAATAAATGAAATTTTATTTAGATATTAACACTTCAGATGTAATTAAGGCCAAGACAAGGAATTTACAAAGAGCTCCATCATTCTAGTGCCCCAATTCCTGTTGTCTGGAGGTCCGTTCATTTTGTCTCTATGCTTACTTACCCTATGAAGAATCCAGTGTTCGTGTAAATATTCTAATCCCTGAAGTGTCATCAGCATATATGCTTTGATGTGGGAAGGTGTCAAAACAAGACTAGTGTCCTTTATTATAACCTGTAAAGCAATACATTTTTATAAACTGCAATAACTTAATAACGAAGTTTACACACGTCTGTATTCAAATACAGAATAGACCAATTCAGATAGTACAAAGCTTCATGGGAATAGTAATGAGGAACAGCATATGTGGAGGTTTCCAGAATAATGAATACTTTTCACTGCAGACTTACAGAAGATGATATTAGTAATGCAGCTTTACCGAATGACAAGGGTACTTTCCGCTAAAGATTATCGTATATGTTTTTGTGAAATCTCTACAGTGCTCCCACAAGATACTAAGCTATAACCTGTAGTTTACAAACTCCAATGGTTGGAGTCACACTTTACATTAAACCATAATGTGACTTGCTTGGTTTTGGCTTAGTAAATAGTATATGAACTGAGCCACAAAATTCAAAATTATTAAATCATAGGACATCAGTTTGTCTTAACTTAAGTCTCTCTGATTTCTCTGGCTCTCTGCCAAGCATGATTAAGCTGACCCACAGTTTCTATTTAACAAAAGGTTATCTGAGAGACACCTCATCAGAATGTTTTAGGTCTAATTTAAATGAATAACTCCTTAAGCAATTTACTTTGATTTTATAAATTTGATAAAAAAGTTATCATCTTCAGTCCTCTGTTTCATGAATGTTATTTTTTGGACTTTATCAAATAGGTTGTTTTATAGTATGATTCAATTATTTTACTTGCCTTCAGAAAAATGCCATGTACAGTATTATGTTTCCTACATGACTTAAAGGATGGAAATCTCTATTCCTCTAATCAAAGAAAATAAAATTGGGGACAGAATGTCAGTTATTTCAGTTACACATTCTTAGATTTAAAAGCAATAAGATCCCTCAAAAGAGTTCAAGGATAAGTGGAAGGAAGTAATAAATGATACCTGAGAAGCCATATGAGAGATATTTTTAGACATAAAACAATCCGTTAGGTTTATTTAATAAATCAAGTGACACATTCTACTTTTCTATTCTTTTTCCCAGTTTTTCCTGCAACTTGTGACTTCTTTTCCATGAGCTTTGATTACACATAGTGATTATGATTATTGACTATGTATAAACAGTGAAACTTTCCTCTACAGGAAAAGTTAAACTAGTAGAAAATGATTGGTTTAAGCAGACTTACCTCTAGATCAGTTTCCATAAAATCAAACACTAGACTGATGTTTGATTTGTGTCCAAATGCATCAAGAAGCTGAAAGAAAAAGACATTTAGATATTTATAATTCTTGTTTCATAAATGGAAATGAGTCCAGGTTTAAAGAAATTCTGAGAAAAATAACCTGGGGTGTCTTCTTCCTGCTTGGTCAATTCACAAGCAGTGTTAGCTAACTAGGATGCATGCCAAGTTATTAGGTGATTGCTCTAGCTACTCTTACCTTTCTACAGTGTCCCAAAGTAGTACTGGATCCAGCTACCTGTTGTGTCCAGGCTGGAAAAGTTTTAAAGTGAGGAAACTAACATATTTTCCTCACCGTCTGACAACTTCGTAAAGATATCAAGTATTATGATGGCTCTGCCATATAAAAGGAATATTAACAGTAGAATACTAATTATTAATGCTTGCTAATGTTTTCTATAACTTATCTTGTTACTATGTATTATATTCTGAAAGGCAGGATAAATTGAAATGAATAATACACAAACCAGAAACAGCATTTTTGACTTCTTGGTATGCTGGCTCAATTTAAATATAATGGACTATAGAAAGGAATATTACATTAGGTGCTAGCATTAGACTTCAATAAATATACTTCAGTAAATAAAACATAGTTAATGTTTCTGTTCCATCTTTGCAGCTGTTTGCTCTTACCTTTGGTATTTTGAAAACGTTATAATTTTCTAAATCACACATAGCAAAAACAATAATATGATGAAAAGATCCACTAATTCTATTTCAAGCCAAAAAATTAGCAGAAAGAAACCAATGTAAGAAGCCTAGTTTATATATTACAGCAATGAAGATAAGCTGCTTTTCCTTAACCTGCTTAATTTGCAAATTTTAATAAATTGTATAACAGAGCCATAGTGTGAGATAATGTTAAGCAATAAAACCCTGGGCCATATGAGTGATTTCTGTTGATCTAAAGATGAAATAACTAAGCACATTTACAAATTGCAAAAGGACCTGCTTATCTGAACGAAATAACCAAGCCAAAAGATTAAAATCACATTCTTGCAGTCAGGTTTCATTGCGAAGCTATAAACTAAGTTCTAGATTGTACTCAGGACTGTCCTTAATTTTTAGATTCTGGAGCAGAGAGAGAGAAGCAAGAGAGTCACATTACAGTAATCATTAAGCAACAAGCAGTATCCTAAAGATTTTAGTGTTCCCTAAATAATACGCTTTATTCTTTGAATGATTATTCCAAACTGTTTTCCTTATAATTTTGATTATTATTGTTGCATAGTTACTAGTTTCTAGCCATACATTTATTCATAATGTAACATGGTGTATATAAGCTTGCAAAGCTCTTTTTGACTGAAATATATGTTTTTCAGTGTCTTGAGTTCCCTTGGAAAACTATTCAAATATAGCATAATAGTTAACAAATGCTTTCTCAGCAAGTAACTAAACTCCAAAAATTCAGCTCATAGGTTCATAATTAATAGCACTTAGCAATAACAATCACACTTAGACTTAAATACCACCCATAGTGCTTTATAGCATGTAGGGTTTTTACAGTGAATCATCTGAATGGTCCTTAGAACTTAGGCTACACGTGTAAGTAAAAACTGCAGCAATCTGCAGAAAATATTTGCTTGTCAGTTATTCTTTGCTTGCAATGTGTTCCCAGGCATCAAGGGCATGGGATGATGAACAAAGTATAACCTGCAACATTTTATTCACTCATTTGATAACACTTGATTCATTCAGCTATAACAACATGCACATTCTCACGTATACCAATGATGTAAGGACTAACCAATTATTGTCTCTTGGAGACTTGTTAGCCAATAATGATATTACACGTAAAGTAGGTAGAGCTAAAGAAGCTGCAAACACTATAAGAATGATGTTTCATGATTAATAATTTTGCTGTTGATTCTGCCATCCATGGCATGATTCTGCTTCATGCTGTTGATTCTGCTATCTATGGAATGCTTTGTTCAATAAACTTTGGTTGATTTAGCTATCCATGGGTGGATTACATTCTTTCATCTTCAGCCTCGGGACCCTAAATGCTACAGTTAGCCCTATTCCTTAGCTGAGGTCCACCTGGAATGTTATGGATACCTTTACTCATCCACCAGAGCCATAGTGAATACTATCGCAGAGGGACTAAAGGGAGAAGCAAGGGAATGGCTAGCTGCC